TTTTTTCATAATTAAAATCAAATAGAAATTAGGTTTAATTCTTAATTTTAATTCCTTCTCAAAATAAAAACACAAAAATAGGTTAATTGTTTTTTTTCTCATTAATTTAATGATTTTTCATAATTAAAACTTAATTAGTGATTAGGATATTTTGCAATTTATTCTTTATTTCCTTAAATAAAAATGACAAAAAATGATTTTTTTTCTTTAATTAAATTCAATTTGGTTTTCAAGGGTCAAAACCCTAATTTCTCGCATTTACGTTTGTCGTATGTACTTTTAATTATGTTTTTGTAACTTCTCTGAGGTTGTAATAGTCTTTTAAACTAGGGTTTTATTTACTGTTTAATTTCCCCACAAGTTTTGGTTATGTAATCCCCATTCCCCGAAGCCTTGTAATAATTAGATTTACTTTTCCACTTTTAATTTCCGCAATCTTTAACTGTCTAGATGTATGACTAATAGGATTGTATGGCAAGAATGTTTGAAAAAATTAAAACGGTAGATCACCTAATATGCAAAGATTAAATAACTAAAACAAATCACGTGCACATATCCACTTCTAGGATTTACCTCACTTCGGTTGCCTTCGGTAAACAGTCGTTAAGCATAGGAGATTTTAGTGGTTGCCCTCAAGTCTAAAAGATCAAAATGTCCCATTCGAATGTTTCCTCAGAAATGTTTCAACGAAAAGGTTGCCTCGGAATTGTTGCCTCAGAAATTTTGCCTCGGAAAGATCTTAAGACTCTAGGGTTATTACTAAAGTTTTCTAACTATTGCTTTAGTGATTGTATTTGTCCCTTTCGAACGTCCCTTACAACTCCAACGATGGTGCTACCTACTCCTTAATAGTAGGATAGCGCTGTCTAAAGGAAATAGAACGAACAGTCTTTTTTCGAGTAGGTAGAATCTTAAGTACTTGCTCAATGAAAACTTTTCACACAAACATCTTTCAAAACAAATTTTCAAAACAACTTCGTCACATCCTTGAGGACTGATACAAGGGTTATCACGAAGTAAAACATTTTCAATACAAACACACACAAGAAATTTGAAAAATAAGCAAGTACCTAAGAGCCCGTAGATAACTACAGATAAAAGGGGTGCTAACACCTTCCCTTTCTATAATCTACTCCCTGTACTGAGAATATCTCGAAAAAAGTTTTTTTTCTGTTCTTTTTCCTTTTCCATGATTGGATGAAATAAAAGTCGATGGTGACTCTTGCTTACCGCGACATTTTGCAAACAAAAAACCCAAAATGCAAACCAGTATTAAACAGTCGGTTCTGCCACCGTATCACACCTACATTGTTTGATACTAGTCTTGATGAGTGCTAAAACTTGGAAAGCATAAACTTAATATTCTGTTTGAGGGAAATTGATATTATTTTGATCTCATCGACTTAACATGAAAATCGCCTCTCACATGCATCAACATACAAACACATGCATCAACTTACATATAAAAGGATACAATTATGGCCCCTAGCGCAATTGTTCTCCCAAGCCAATGAGAGAACCTAAGTTAACCTAATAACGATCTAAACTTCTCCAAGATAGATCTCCATGGGTGTCTTCCTTCAATCTTGTCTTCTTCCTTTTCTTAATTACATTACATTACATAAAATAATACTCGTCTTACATACGAGGGAATGAGATGAGAAAATAAGTTACATAGAGAGATTAAGAGAAAGGCACGACACGCATTCGTATTTTAAAATCCTAAAAACAAAATAAAGGAATCTAAGGCCATAACCGATCACCACAAGACAACAATAATAAACACTTTATTATATTATTAATTTAAATTATGTTAATTAAATAAGTCAAATTAAATTTCAGCAATTGATCACACTATGCAGAGTTAGCTAGGGGTTCTGCTGCTCAGTCAGCGGACGGCAGTTCCAACGCAAAATTTTAATGAATAATTCATTTGAAATCAGCATTGTTTTTCACACAACTCTTGTGCTGTTACAACCCTAATCCGCGTAACTCTCTTATAGCACAACCCTTGTGCCATCATGAACCCTAATGCAAATAATTTCATATCGTCAAACACAACTCCATTGATAATTCAGTATGATCGATTAATATGCCATTGCTTCACCATACTAACATTGGATTCCAAAGCGAATGACCAATGATCTTTCAAAAGAATAATAATCATTTTGTGATTGAATGGAAGAAATCGAAACAGTATATCTAATATACCATCTTTGCACCAGAATTGTTTATATCATATATAAATTTGATCAATCATATTAGTGACTTATGGATGACCGATGTATCGCTGCTTCACCATACTAGTGTCAGATTCCAAAGCATAGTCAACATCGATTTGCCCAAACCGCACACACCATGATGCCAAAATTTAATTTACTCAGTTATTATTCAATTCATTCCGTGTTTTAATCCGATTAATATAGAATGTACAGAAAATAAACAACTATCAGATCCATGGTTTCATGAGTGGCTCTGATACCACTGAAGGAAAATTGTGATCCAAAACGCAGTGGAAAATTAAAATTTTGCTTTAGTGATCCTTACGAATGGGCATGGTCAGTGATAGAAATCATTACCTCTTGTGATGATTCAGACCTTTGCTTTTGTGATTACGAACAATGATGAATATCAATTTCTCTACTCAGTCCACGCGAACGGATCACTTCTGGACACAATGCTAGCTGCTTATGAACGAAAACATTGAGTGAGAGAATGAGACAAAATATACAGCTAGAAATCAAGACCGAATTTTCATCAAGTCGAATGCTTCAGCATAAGGGTTCTATTTATAGAACCACTTAAGTAGGCTGCAAGCTAAAAGCAAAATTAAGGCTGCAAGCTAAAAGCCCAACTAACCATATGAGTATCATACCTTATGATATACCGCATATCACTTAAGCACGTGGTACCTTACCACATTCCATATTTCACTTAAGTGCACTGTACTTTACGGTGTTCCTTATTTACTCTATCTCTCATCAACCTGTCCTTATATGTGTGACCCTATAGGTTTTCGTGATGTTAGCAATTAACATAACAAATAGTTAGCAATATCTAGCAACACATCACTGCTACCCAGGTCACGAAAATGTCATTTGATATGACAAAACCTTTCTGTGATAATATTTGTTTGTACAATTACCCTTTTTCCCTTATGTCTATATTGAACACAAGGCATAACCGTGTCACCCTTGTCCAGTTCAATATTGGGCCCTTAGACATTTATCCTGTTAGTATGCTTTGTGAAGTACCCATCACATGTCTTTATGGTCATCCAGTTATGGATAATGTTTGATCAGCAATAAAGTACTTAACTCCACATCTAAGGTCCATAGTGATTTCATGTCGAAGGGTGGTATACGCCATTATCACCATGAGAATAACTTATGACACCTTTCATAACATTCTATGTAGTATTCTCATAGCAGATCAATCCAGTATAAATATTACTCCTAATATTCATACCTATGTCAGGACTTGATAACTCCTTATCCATGATCCATGAGGTGTGATCATCAATCTATATTTATAATAATCTTAATGATTTAATGTTATCCCACTTTGCAATAAAGATCGACTACGAATATTTTAAGAATGGTGTTCTTATGTTTAATGTGATCTCATGATTAAGTCACACTTAATATTTCATTAAATAAACGAACTATTCTAGGGACTCTATTATTCTGGAAAAGTAAACATAATAATGAAATTCCTTTTATTATTAATAAATAATTCGATACAACTACCCAAAGTATTGGCCTCTAGGGCTTACACCAACGCAAACAAAAACCATCATCATAAAAAACTAGAAATAAACAAACAATGGGGGTGCAGGCGGTGTAATACCCCAAATTTGTCCTACCCTTTTACTATTATTTGGCTTATGCATCTTGAACTTTCCTCATGTACATAACTTTCATTAGGTCATCTAACACATCATGCTTCATTAATCAATAAAATTGGCATTAGGATTAGTGGCTTGGTAATTAGGGTTTCTCCTTGGTTTTGAGGGCAATTCAAGTTATTTACTCGACGATCATGGTATGAATTAGGGTTTATTTCCCTAGTCATGTGGTATTCAAGAGGGGGGCCCTTATGAAGTTCATCCTCAGTGAATCCCATCATTCAATGGGATTATATCCTTACTTAAGGTGCAAGTTGTTGAATTAATGTTGGTGTTCATGACAATTAGGGTTTGCTTCAAGATGATTCATTATACAATGCAAGAAAGCTTCATTCAAAAGATCTCATCCATGGAGATAGGGTCCCAACTGATCTATTTTTGTCAAATTAAGTGGTGTTCATTACTTGGATCATAAGGCATATGGAGATGGTTTCATAAGAAAAATACACTTGGATTTCATCAAGTTAAGTTTGTGGGTATATTAAGGCATAGTATTCCATATGATCATTTGTCTTTCTTATGAGACAAGTTACTTTCATTCAACTATATCAAGCTAAAATTCTAGAGTTTTCTCATGAAATACTAGGTAGATCAAAGTGATAGAAGGTGTGGGTCATTCAAACACTTGAACTCATCAAACTATGGAGGATACTTTAATACCATTGATTCCATGAACACAAAGGGAATACATTGAGAATACAAATAGATGGAAATTGGTTCAAAGTTTGATTTTGATTCCATTACGAAGACCATTCAAAACTTATTACATTCTATTACAAAAATTACAAGATCATCATCATTCAAATGTTCAAATACATACAATATTCATTCATTATTACAATTCTGAAAAAAGACCCAAACAAATAACATTACAAAATTCTCACTCTTTCTCTCCTATACACTCATTCTGAAAAGTCTCAAAAACCTATTGCTTGTTGCAACACCTTATTCAACATTATTTCTAAAATGGGTCAATTTCAAGTACCTTCTTCTTCTAAAACACTCTTAAGCTCCTTACTCTACTTTCTTCTTTCTTCTTTTTCATCTCAACAACATTTCCCTATAAATTTCCCTCTTTCTTGGAACTGCTATGTTATCTTGGAGTACACCTCCCTCTCCTAATGGCTGATTTCCCTTTGGATACTACTGCTCCAAAATTCACATTGGCATCATCTTTATGTTCTGACCAAGATCACCAAGGGAAATGTTGTTGCTACATTAATGCTAGTATTTCGATTTGTGTTGCTCGTTTTGCTAATACAACAAGAAACCCGGGGGTTCCTCTAAATACCTCTGTCATCTTCCTCCAAAACGTATCTCATACCCTACACACAAACAGTTCAAGAAAAGCCATTCAATAAGAAACCAACCTGCAATCAAGAGAATTATGTCCAAAACAGTGTACAGAATCAGAAAAAGAGGCCAAAACTAACTTTATTTACCACCTATTAAACCATTCAACTAAGGGTTTTAAATATTAACTAATTAATTGTCACAACAACCTAGTTAACAGTTCAAACAGAAAATAATCAATCCAAACCCAATCATTCACTATCCTAACTGTTTCATAACAACTTCTACCAGATTTTTCAGCTAACATAAATCCTCCAGCTAATTCTTCCAGCTCATATAACAGATTCCTAACAAACCCCTATAACAGGAAGAACTAACTGACAGAATCACAAAAAAAACTAACACTTCTAACTATCTCGCTAACAAACTTTGAAACAGTCCATAACTAACTTTTCAACTCTAACCGCATAACAAAAAGCAAAAACTAATTCAAATAATTTTCCAACCAATTTTTTTTTAACTCCAACTAACATAACTGATGTCAACTCATCAAATTTGGCCCATAAAAGAAAACATAATCTAAAAACCTGTAACCACTTCTCTAACTCCTAACAGATTCCTAACAAAGTGAAGCCAATCTCCTAACCATGTTCTAACAAACTTATAACAAAATTCAGAAGGAAGAGAAGGAGGTTCAGAGTTCATTCACAATAGAAAAATATATAGAAATAGAGTAAAAGGCTCACCAGAGGATTATCTGAAAAAACTATTTCTTCTTCTCTCTCTCTTCCATCCTCAACCCCCATCCGCAACTCGGAAATTTCAACTTCCTGTTGAATCCCTCTCTCTCTGATTCTCCCAACCTTCAATCTCATTGTTTCTTCAACCTCACTACATCTTCAACCTCAGTCCATTCACGTTCATTCTCTCTGCAGTTTCGATTCGCTCTCTGCATCAATCGACAGACTCAAGAACAACACCAATGCAAATACATAATCATTCAATCACGCGTAGAAAATAAATTAAGAGAAGAATAAGAAAAAGGCGAAAGGAGGTTCATACCTGAAGATACAAGAATATCTAGTTTTCTTGTCGTATCGTTATTGAAGCGCCAACGGAGCGACTCCGATAAGTAAGTCTTGGAATTTCAATTATCTTCTTCATATCCACGTCTTGATTGAGTCTTCCTGAAATGAAATCATATAGTAACAAATTTGAAGCCTCAACTGTGGGTGTTTAATTTTGGTTTTATGAGGGTTAGGGTTTTTGCGGGTATGTTAGGTATAGTAATATTGAGGTTCGATCGAAAGAAATGAGGTGAGACCAAAGGTAGGGTGAGAGGAAGCTCTTAATAGAGTGGGAGGCATGGGCGAAGCTGGATGAAGATGAAGGAGCTTTCGTTGTGTCGAACGAAGATTAAGACAGACGTTGTGGAGGAGAAAGACTGAGTGTTATTGTGACGGCCGGGAAACAAACTACGAAGGAGTGGAATCAAAGGTAATTAAGGGGTATTAGTGTCATTCACGGTTAGAGAAGAGAAGGAGGAGAAGTTGTTTTGAAGCTCCAAGCGTCACAAGCTCTCTTAAACCATATCCAAGCCAAATGACGTCGCTTCTTTCTCTTTCAATGTTAATTGTTTTTTCATTTCTATTATCAACCAGAAACAATAATAATGAGAGAGTGGGCCAAACCACCTTCCTCCTTAGGCCCATGTATGACAGTTTTTGGTACAACTATTGTTTGGAAAAAACAGCTTATGGGCTACTGCATTTTCTATCGGGCCACACTTACATTTATCAGCCCACAAATTTTTTTTTTGAAATGCTGAAGAAGTGAAACAAAAAAACTGGTGGATTGTTGTTGCTAGACCGGGCCAAATCTCAAACCGTTTTGCATCGGCCTGTGTTTTGTTGACATATTAAAAAAATTGTGAACAAAAAGAAGGGTTCTGGACCTTATTATTGTTGTGCCTAGAGCCCTTGCTGCTTTAAAACTCCCATTCTGGCTTTTCACCTCCTATTTCCTTTATTTTCATTTTGGATTTTTTTTAATAATTTCTCTTTCATAATTTTTGTCAATAAAAGTACATGATACAAATATAATAAAAACAATAAAAATAGTAGAATATAATAGAAATTTTTAGGATTTAATTCTTTAGTTTTTTAGAATTTTCCTTACTTAAAAACTACATAAAAATACTTTTCTCTTATCCATATTTTCTTACCGTTGTGCCTCGTTATTTTTGACGCGTTTGTTCATTGTGCAAGTTATAGTTTTGACGTTTTCAATCATATAACATAACAAGTTTTTATGTGATCAAAGCATATGGCTTATGCTCGCTTCCGATGCGACATGCCTTATTTCTCATCATCCTGAGAAATTTATATCATATTATATGTTGTCCTGATACATGTGATATTTTGTGGTACTTTGTGCAGGAACTTCTGATTACGCATTGCATTCGCAAAACACGTTTTCTTTTATCTTAGTTAGATATTGTTTCTGACTATTTGTTTCTTGGTGAAGCTTTATCGACGCGTACTCCCTGCTTCTCCGTTGCTTTCGTTTGCTTTCGACGATTTTCTTGCTCGTGGTAGTTGTTGCTACTACATTTGTATTTCTCTGCACTTTATCGCATTTCTTTACCGCCTTTCTAGAGATCATGAGAAGTAGGGCTTTACCGTTTTCTGATTCCATGAGAAGTAGGCTAGATATGTATGACGGGGATCTCCGTTGCTGATCATGTCAGGAATCTCTCAGGTTTATTTAAATGCTCGTTTAGGGAAATTCCACATTGTGTGCATTCTGTTTTCTATTTGTGGTTGTTTAAAACCCTACATTTGAAGTATGTATTCCGCATGTGTGTTTACTTTTGTGCTTGTATAGCGGGATGATGGTTTTCCGCATGTGTGTTTACTTTTGTGCTTGTATAGCGGAATGATGGTTTTAGGTCCTTTTATGGAAACCATTCCTAAGTCCTTATGGGAAGGCAAGTGGAAAGGGTTAGCAATCAACCTCCACCAGTTTTCGTCAGTGTCATTCCTATGCTCACTTTTTGCAAGTTTTGAGCTCTGGACATGTTCCCAAGATCATGTATATTGAGTTGTCAAGTGGGGAAGGGTTTTACGATCAAACCCCCATACTTTGTCATAAGTTCGCATTGGCCGATGCTGACACTCTATGATCATTCATATTATCTTCTGCCGCCTATCTCGATCTTATATATCTTGGTTAAGCCTTTACCCGAGTTAGTGTGCGCTACTCGTGCCATGTGCTTGCTCCTTTCGAATGTAAGTTAGACCTTATGTGGAAACCCATGCATTCTAACATTAGGTAGAGATTTCCCTTTCATCCTTGACTTAGGGCCATCATTGCATGATAACATTAAGGGTAGTTCTAGGCTAGTCTCTCATAGTTGTTTTTCTTCCTCTTTTGCATGTGCATTTAAAATTAAAACTTTATTATTCTTAGTAAATCATAAAACATGTTAATCATATTTAAACCCTTTTTCAAGGTGACAAAACACAAACCAATCAAATGTGGCATCTTGCCTTGAGGGCGTAACTCAAAACCATTTTGAGTAAGGACATGATTAATTTACTTCTGTGTCAATGTGTGAGTATCCAAAGGTCGAGTTACGGCAGAAGGCGGGATTAACATTGTCCATAAAAAAATGCAAAACAAACAAAACATGTGAGCCTAACTACGGTAACTCTGATTCCTCAAAAAGGATATGTAAGTATTGGGGTAGGGCCCAAACAAGCACAACTTTAATTTCCCTACATTATTTTCTCCTTTCTTTTGCATGCATTCTTCCTCGGTAATAAGCAGTAAGCATAGATTAGATACACCCATAAGATAGATAACAAGAGTGGATACCATAGAGTACTACGGGTGTGTGGGGTACTAATACCTTCCCCTCGCGTAAAAGACTCTGTTACCCGATCTCTCGGTCACAAGATCATGACTTCTCCCTTATCAGGTTTTCTCGATGTTTACCTTTCCCTTCATGTGGTATAAAATACGTTCAATGGCGACTTCGGTGAACAACAACAAAAATAAAAACTCAAATTTATTTTTTCTCTCTCGATAAAACAACAACAACATTCTCACAGCTTGATTCGATTTCAACAACAACAACTCCTCTTTCTTCTTACCATAATGACAAATCTTAATAGAAAGCTCTAGTTTCAATAACAATAACTCCTTTTTACGGTTTATTTATCATGACTCTCTCTCTCTATCTCTCTCTCTCTCTCTCTCGGTAAATCAACCACAACATCTTCACAACTTGGTTTTTATATTCCTCATGATAAAAGCCAATAACAACGACATATAGAGCCAAAACGAAGGAAAAAGAAAAAATATAGAATTGGAGTTCCTCCAACGGGTCTTCAAACTTCTCAGGTAAGTTTGATTCATACCTTTTCATCTACTTCTGATCTGGAATTTGACAGGTATTGTGAAGGTTGAGTTGAGGTTCAACGCTGCTGATGCTACCACTTTGTGTTTAATTCTGATGCTTTGAATCGGTTGTAGAGTGAGTGTGTTTACAGGTTGAGGGAATTATTGAGGAAATTTTTGAATTGTTGTAAGTTGTTGAATTGAATCTTGTCATGATGAAAAATCGAGGAGAACAAGCTATTGAGAAACTTGACTCACAATGACTTAAGAAGTCACCACAGAACTTTATTCTTTCTAAGGAAAAGGGAAAAGATCAAAACCCTATTGTTTAACATGTAGTACTAGAAGTAAAGACTAAAAGAAAATCATAAGGAAGAAATCCAAGGTACGTGGGTTGGTTATACAAAGGGAAGGTATTAGCATCCTATGTATCTATAGTATTCTATAGGAACCACTTATAATATCTATTTTTGGTTTAAAATTTTTTGTTTGTTTAAATGGATGTAGAGATGGGAAAAGAAATATATTTTAGAATATTTTTGTTTGGAAAGACATAGTCTTATACCTATGTACCAATTAAGGATCAAAACCTCATAGTTTGTGGTAAAAATAAAAAAATGGTTGTTGTGGTCGATTTTAAGGAGAAAAAGATATTTCATCATCTTTTGGAGAGAAAGCTCAACTAATACCACCACAAGTATGAGAAGATGGATTTTGCATCATCATGAAGGGAGGGCTACTAACTTGGATATAAATATCACAAGTTTCCAACTAACATCTTCATGTGGAAAGAATCACATTTACTTCAACAATTACTATGGGGATAGGAGAATCGTATCTCAATTATGAAGAGGATTTATATCTAATCTCTTTGTGAAAAGTTTTAAATTGAAAAACCAAGTGGCAAAAAGATTTGGGTGAGGTTGAGTAACTTTTAGTGTTTTGAAATTGTTTTGATATTCTTAAGTATATTGAAGCATTTGGTTAAAAAACAAGTTTGAAAATGCAATGACACAGAGTCAAGATTTTTGTATGAAAGTGGTGAAAGTTTGAAAAATGATTTTTTAGGGTTAAAGTTTTCTTAGAGTATATGAGAATACATAAGGTTATAACTTACAAGGGATTTTATACAAAAGGTAATTCATATGCACATGACTTATAAAGTCAAAAAAATTATCCTTTTCCTTGTATTTTTGATACAAGTACTAATTATGTGAGGTAATGAACATACACAAGCATCATATTATCAAGCAAGGATCAAAACATGGCATGTTAGACAAATTCAAATTGGGAATGATCAAAAAATCAACAAGAAAGTATAAAAGACATTTTTTTGGATTTTTAATAAAATAAACAAAATAAAACATTATTTTTTAATTTTTTTCAAAGTACACAAATAAATCAAGTAGCATGCAAAAAATCAAGCAAAAAGGAGTGAATTTGTTCATCTAAAATCAAGTTGGAAGTTGAA